CCAGCTCTACCCACTGAGCTAAGCAGGTCATATACTGCAGTGGTCTAAATGCTGCTTCACAGGTCTTTCCGCCATTAGAAGAGAAATCTGGTAGAAAGATCCATATTTGTTGTTTCATACAAACATAATAAATAATGTTCCTTACCCTGGGTTGTGCTCTGGCAGTCTGTCTGCCTGAGTTCTGGCTGCTTGGCTCCCATTGTGTCCTCCACGACGGTCATGTGAGTGACATATCTGTCACCAGTCATCTTGTCCTCTGTCACAACCCCACTCAGCTTCACCTTTTTACTGCCGAGTACAGACAGACATTGAATGTATAATAAGACATCTAAAATAAATAAAGGCCTTACCTAATGGTAATACAGACATCATCATCTCAAACACTGCAGTGGTGGAGGAGCATGGTCAGTAAATTTCATGTCAGTTTTGATATTTGGGAAAATATTGTCTGGTGGTGCCAGAGGAAAGGTCAGAGTGTCTCCAAAATCACAAGCATATATCCTTTGGTGAATATTCATTCCAACTTTCATGGCAACCTAGCTAGTATTTGTTTAGTTATCTTACTTGTTCCTGACACTTTCTGAAAGTCCAGCAGATGTCTCTTTTGTATTTGTTGAATGCAATCGACTATTTAACTAAGGAGTAATACAGTAATGTAATTACATTAATAATGTAATTACATTTTATATTAGGTATTAATGATATGTTATAATAAATTGCGATGCATCATCATCAGCAATTTTCTTTGGATTTAAATCAATTGATTTATATTATTAGAATGTGTGTCAGTTTTTGTAAGAAAAACAATATTTTGTCTAGATTATGTGAGTTTACATTTATATAAATATATATAATGTTTTTGCATTGCATTGAACAATAAAATAATATTTGTCTTTATAGTTTTTTATTGATGAAAACTCAATTGCATGCTGTTCACCCGTGTGGTGGACGTGACTTTATCATGCCTAAACAGTTAACACACACTAAAAACAACCCTGACTGAGGTTGTCATTATTCATGCATAAAGCGCTGGATGGCAGACTGACAACAACACAGTGTCTAGCATGAGTTGGGACTTGCAAGATAGTTCTTAATATTTATCCAATAATGAGAATTTCACACATTCTGTGTGTAGAAAAAGCTTTTCCAATATAATGAGTGTTTTAATAATAGTGTTATGGTCAAAGTCATTACTGGATTTTCCAGGGAGGATGACTGTGTGTACTGATTTGAGTGCACTGACGTGTATCTAATGTCCTCGGGCGCAGGGAAGGATTCAGCAGGCCAGTTTAGGAAGCAGTTGAGGAAGACCATGCAGGCCATCCCGGACCAAACCCACATGATGACCCGGAACGACACGCCAAGGTCGTAAATCAGCTGAGTGAGGAGTGGTGAGACAGGGAGGAAGACGGGTAAGGAGAGGGAGACACAAAGAGACAGATAGAGATGAATGAAAGAGATGACATGTTAAAAAGTATATCAGCATGTCCCTCTTTATTTCCCATTTCCCACATATTTTTTCACATTCCTCTCAGCTTTCAGCAATTACACAAACAGTTCATATCACTGTGCTCAGATAACGGGAGCACATCTAGGACGACCAACAGAGGTGACGATACAGCACAGATCTAGTGAATTTGACACATTTTTAGAGCTGTGTACCATGATATACAAGAGGGCTCTGCAGCTTCACTGATTATAAATTCAAGATGAAATCATAAAATCCAGCCCAATCATGTGCTCATAACGCATAAATGCAAACACTTTAGTGTTGTAAAATCATGCCGTCATTGTTGATATTAGTGACCACGTACTGCACGTAATTGTATGTTTCTTACAACGCTCATTTCTTAACAGAGATTTTATTTCAGATGCTGTTTCCAGGGCTACAGATATATAGATTAGCTCATAGCTTACTCTGCTGCAGCTATAGCCACATACCACAGCTGTATATGTGTACTGTCCCTGACAAATACATAAATAAATGAATATAACATGTATTTTCTTTATGTTATTAAAGCAACATTTTTTGCTGTTGGACTAGTCAATAATATTAGCGGCTTGCTATGTTTTGAGTTATTACACTTGCTTGTTGTTTGGCTGTGTTAGCAAAGTTTTTGATCATAAGTAATGTAATCAATGTACAGCTGCCCATATTTACCACAGTAAGATTGCAACTGGGGGTGTCAAATTGCACCAAATACCAAATCTTACATAATGCTGCTTTAAATATGGAACTATGATAAAATAAAAACAGAACAGAAAATCATGCAGATATTTTATGGCAAAAGTGCATAAGCAAGTTAATTTCAACAATCTCAAACAAGTATTTTCTTTGTGCTGATTATGATGTCTGAACACTAAATCTGTGCTTTGCCAGCAGTTAGCAGTAGCAAGTTGATTTGTACATACATGCGTGTGTGTGTGTGTGTGTGAGCACCTTGACACCAGGGAAGGTGACGGCTGACGAAGCGTAGGAGCCAATCATCAGGGAAAGGATGGTTGATCGAACATTCCCAAACATGTTAGGCAGCTGGATGAAAGAGAGAGAGTATGAATATATAAATGAACCATGCAACCGTCCTTATCAGTCAGCAGTAAAAACAAGACTAGGTAGTATGTGGTTGTGTGTTTGTATGATCAATGTGTTTCTGAAGATGTAAGTCAGGACTTTGTGTGTCTGTTCATTTTGAAAGAGAAAGGGCCAATGGGGAAAATCCAACAACTGCTGCAGTCCAACAAGCTCAGCACCGTGTAAAAACAAATGCTAAATGTTCAAATCAGCTATGTTTTGGTCCAATGAGCTTTGACGTATTTCAGGTATTTATATTAGGATTTAAAAAAAGCTGTTATGAGGACACTA